CGTTGATGTCCGCGTCCATCTTCTCGAAGTACTGCTGCGCCCGCTCCGCCTCCTTGCAGTCCCGCTCGAACCGCCGCTTGCTCTGCCAGGAGAGGGTGGGCAGGGAGCAGGCGCTCACCAAAGAGACCGTGAACGCTGGGCAACGCGCTCGGGGACCCTGAAGCCCCCGCCCCAGCGGCACACTCGTCCTGTGGCACACCCGTCCTGCGGCACACCTGTCCTGCCGCACACTCATCCTGCCGCACACTCGTCCTGTGGCACACCCGTCCTGCTGCACTCGTCCTGCCGCACACTCGTCCTGCGGCACACTCGTCCTATGGCACACCCGTCCTGCCGCACTCGTCCTGTGGCACACTCGTCCTGCTGCACACCCGTCCTGCTGCACACTCATCCTGCCGCACACTCATCCGGCATCCTGCCAGGACGCAGCAGCCCTTTGGTGCCCTTTCCTGAGGGCTGCCACGATGTCCTGAATTGGCTGTGAGCGGCTCCCTTTCATGGAGGAGCCAGCATCTGCAGGGTGCCGGCCCGCGAGTGCGGTGGACGGCGCCCTCAGTGGCAGCGTCCCACAGTGTTGGTTGTGCCTGCGCGGGCCGGGAGAGGCCAGTTCTGCACGCTGGTCCACCTCGCGTCACTCTCCGAAGGCCCAGACCCTGCCCATCCCCATCCCGCGGCCTCGTCTTCCCTCTGTCCACGCAGCTTCTAGCAAGCACACGGGGCTTGGTCCCTTCTGGAGCCAAGTGTCACTTGGTAGTAGTGGCATTAGAAATAAACGCAGTGAAATTCAGAAGACAATATTCTGTAAAGAATGTCTCTTTGGGTCATGAGTGTGTGTATGTGTGAGACAGAGAGAGACAGTGTCTCACTGTAGCTCAGACTGGCCTTGAGCTCCCGGGGACCCTACTGCCTCAGTCCCCGTCGTGTTTCTTTGGGGTTTCTGCTTTTTTCCTTACGGAACAATTCAGGCCTATATTAAATGCAAATCAGAAAAACCTCAAAGACGTGCTTGAGCTGTTTTCTACTCACAGATTCGAGCTGCTTCCAGCAAGTCTCGATGTGCTGCTGCGCTTTCCGCCCGTCATGGAAGTTCTGGCAAGAAGAAGACACGCCGGGTCACGATCACCCAGAACACCGCGGAAACACCGCCCCCCGGGCCAAGGCCGCAGTGTGCCGCAGAGCCCCGGCTTCCACCCCCAGCACTGTGGAGTAGGTCAGTCAGTAAAAGCCAGGCGTGCAGGTGCACAACTGCGACCCCAGCCCTGGAGGCTGAGGCAGGAGGCTCCACACGGATTTGCAGCCAGGCTCCTTGGACGCATAGTGAGACCCTGTCTTGAAAAAACTCCAGCCAAGGGAAAGTGAGAAGAACAGTCAGAGTTCCCTTTTGAGACCACAGATAAAGTAATAGTGAACATGAAATCATATTTACCATGAGGAAAACCAACAGGAATGGCTGAAGACAGCAATCCTGAGAATCACTTTTTTGCTACTTTGGGGCACACAAGACATTTTCATTAATTAATTTATTTTTGGGTTCTCGAGGCCAGCTTCGGTGTGTGGCCACTCACTACGTACCTCAGGCCGGCCTCAGGTCCTCCTGCCCCAGCCTCCTAGGTGCGGAGGTTACAAATCTGAACCACAGTGCCCGGCTTATCGGGCCACTTTTATAGGATTTGCTCACTCAAGGGGCAGGACTGAGTGGAGTTTTGAAGAGTCACAGGACCGGAGAGGTGGCTCGCCAAAAAAAAAAAAAAAAAGTCACCGAAGTGCAGCCAGGCTGGGTGTGGTGGCAGTGCCTGCGATCCCAGCACTTGGGAGGCTCAGGCAGCAGGAGCGCCATGAGCTCAAGGGCCCCGAACTACACCGCAAGGCCCTGTCTCAAAACCAAACCAAACCAAACCAAAAACTACTGTGCAGCCTTCACTACAATTAACCCTAGAACATGTACATCATCCCCAAAAGAAATAATCCCGGCTCGGCTGTCACCCACTGGTCACGGGATCTGTGCCCATGAGGCTGCCCTCCAGGACGTGGCCTGAAGCAGGAACCACACGTGGGACTGTGCTTCAGCGCTCTCTCCCTTCTCGCCACCCCGAGGGTCATCAGCGCCACCCTGGCCTGTGCTCTGTCCCAGCTCTGATGAGCATTGCCAATGCCTGCTGGGAGCCCTGCGGACCCCTCCGAGGGAAGGCTGGCTTCACCTCAGTGTGAGGCGGCCACAATGCAGGCGCATGGGGCACCAGCAAGGCCTCCAGAAAGGCCGGGGCTGCAAGCTGGGATGACTCAGTATACAGCTCAGCAGTGTCCCCGCCCAGTGTAGGGGGAGGGAAGGTGGAGCCAAGAGAGACAGAGACCTAGGCCAGTTGAGGTCACCATGGGGTGTCTGGCTGTCAAGGCCAGGGCACTGTCATTGCCTGAGGGCAGAGAAGACAGCACCCAAAGTCCCCACCTCCTCAGGCCCCCAAAATGCGCCCCTCTCCTGCCAGCAGCTGACTGGCCCATAGGCTGCGCCCTCCAGGACCCAGGGCCGCCCCACCCTCGGATTCTCATCAGATCCTGGGAGGGCAGGAATGTGTCCCAGAATGTGTCCCTGGCGGCTGGGTCTCAGGACCAAAGGGCACAGGGCCATGGGGCACATTCCGTGACTTCCTGGAAGGTAGGCCTTGCCTGAGGGGCCACAGCAGTCTCCCCTTGGGACCATGTGCCCAACCAGCCATGGGGAACTGCACCCAGTCACTGCTTTTCCACAGGGACCCCAGTCCACACTGTAGAATGCCGCGTACATCAATGGAAACACTCCCTTCCTTTTTGAGACAGGGTTTTACTATACAATTGAGGCACTCTACTCACTGTGTAGCCCAGGCTGACCTTGAACTCATGGAGATCCCCTGCCTCAGCCTCCCGAGTGCTGGGATCACAGGCGTGGGCCACAGAAATGCTCCTCTTGTTTTCAGTACTGCAGCTAGAACCCAGGGCTAGAGCGTGCTGGGGACGTGCTCCACCATTGAGTTCCAGCTCCAGCCCAGAAATGCTCCTCTTCATGAATGACTTTCCACCAGGACTCTGAGAGGCTGAGACAGAAGAACTGCAAGTTCGAGCCCTGCAGGGGCAATGTGGACATGCAAGACCCTGTCTCAAAACACAAAGAGGCTGGGCTATAGCTCCATGCAGGGCCCTGGGTTCCATCCCTGGGGCTGGAATAAGATAAATCAATGGGCTGCTGGCAGGCGCAGGGCTGAATGTGCGTTTCCCGGTGCCAGGGGAGCACATCGTGCAAGAGGCCTCGGAGAGGCATCAGGAGCTTGGGGTCTCCTCACTCTGCTTCAGGCCAGAACCTCATCCGGGCGGCCTGGGATGGCGCTGGCAGGGGAGTGATGAGGGGCGCAGATCGGGTGTCCCAGCACAGAGCGCCTTTATTCCTGCTATTCAGTGCCTCTGTCCTCCTGGAGGTCAAGTTTCAGGGCGCCCAGCACTCAGCTGCGGGAAGGCGGATCCACCCTGCTCAGGAGCCTCCTGGGGCTTCGAGTTTCAGCTCTCATAATGGAGTGGGAGAAGGCAGACAGGGACGGAGTCCAAGGCCAGGAATGAAACCAGCGAGGATGCAGGCTGATGGAACACAGAGGAGCCAAGGGCCAGGGGGCGGGGTGAGCTCACCTGGGAGGAGGACACAGCCCTGCTTCCCGTGAGCCTGGGGTCACCTCTGAGAGGAATGAGTGGGCGAGGAGGAGTTGGTGGCTGAGGGACAGACACCGGACAGGGAGGCAGCAAGGGGCGGCGCCCGAGTGCCAGGGGCTCAGGAGGACCCCTCTGCATCCCAAGCAGCACCCCGGGGTGCTGCAGGGGCCTGACAGCACTGCCTTCCCCAGGAGGTTCAAGGACAGGTGCAAAAGGACAAGAAATCATACAGCTTCTGACCGCTTCTGAGCTCTGGTTGAGGCTGTTACTTTCTGTTGTTGTCTTGGGGTAAAAGGGGGTCTCGCCATGTAGCTCAGGCTGTCCATGAACTCTATGAGGCCCAGGCTCACCTTGAACCCCTTGGTGAGCGTCCTGCCTCAGCCTCCTGAGAGCTGGGCTTCCAGGCAGGTGTCACAGCGCCCCACGCAGACCTTTATTTCTACCTGAGATCACTGGCGGGCTCTGCAGGAGGCCCCACACTGTGGCCCCCCAGCCATAGTTTTCATGTGGCCTCTGAACAAAGCTCTAGGGACAGTCCCTCTCTGCCCAGGCCCTGGCAATGCCTGTGGCCTCCAGGATTTCCTGGGCACACAGAACTGTTTGGGGCCAGGTGACCTCCCAAGAAACAGAAGGACAGTGACAGCTCTTTGACCTTGGCAGGGGCCCTCCATCACCTTGGCCTCTTTTGCAGGAAGGGGCTGTGACAAAGTCACACGAGTAACCTGGCTCCCTCGAGGGCCTCACAGTGGCCAGCTCGCTCAGCTACTCTGCCCTGCACTGCTTGGGGAGTCGTGCAGGGACAGGGACAATCAGGGCCTCTGTGGGGGACAGATGAGGTCATCAGTCACTGCAGCTCCTGTCTCCTGTCACAACAGGCAGGAGATGCCATGCTGGGGGACCCAAGACTGCCCCTTTCTCTCTCATAGTGAGACATTTGGGGTTTCCAGTAAAAACACAAGAACAGTCTTCAAAAAGCCTGATATCCAGGGTAACAGCTCCAAATGCCTCTCTTCTCCTCTCTTCTTTTTTTTCTTCTCTGATACAGTCTTGCTATGCAGTTCAGACTGGCCTTCAACTCAGAGCCTCCTACCTTAGTACCCTGGTGCTGGGGTTCCAGGTGTGCCCCCATAATCTTCATTTTTACAGTTTGTTGTATTTTACTCTCTACAGATAAAATCACTATTCAAAAAATATTTATTAGAAAATAGCTGAGATTTTTTTTTTTTTTTTTTTTTTCAGAACCGGGGATTGAACTCAGGCCCTTGAGCTTGCCAGGGAAGCGCTTATTCCACTGAGCCATCTCCCCGGCCCCAGAAAATAGCTGAGAT